AAACCATATCTTCCAAAACCTCTCAAAGCTACGACATATTTCAAACAAATTGTAAACAGTAGCATCAAATGCTACAGGATGTCAACTTCTGTAACATGAGCAATAGATTTTGTCCTCTTCTAAATCTTAGAACTAAAAGTCCCTTGATTAGCAACAAATAGTAATGAACATTGACATCCAAGAGACAGTCAAAACAAACACAAAGAACAAACATAGAAGTTACCAAAAGAAGAGAAGACAAGCACAAAACAGAAATAAATGAAGTATTGAGAAGGGGGAAAAAAACCCAATAAATGAAATTTGGATAGCATATCATTATCTGGATACATATATTTGCAATACCATCAAAATGCTTCTCAAACATTAGGGATGAAGAAAAAACCCATTAGGGATGAAGAAAGGTATGGATGGTGTTCATCCTGGTTTAAAAGTGAAGGGAAATCCCATAAACCCCCAAAAAAATAACAAGAACTGAAAAGGGGTATGAATGTTATAGTGATTTTTGGGATAAACAAAGAAGAAAAGAAGAAACTATTATATATTTACGGTATTGTTTGCCTGGCTCCATCCTGTCTGCCTTTATGGACGCAATGAGAGGATTAAACAGAGAGAAGCTACATTGTACTGCAACTATCTGTAAATGCTCGAAAACGACCTTCGATTAACAATGGCGCAGTGAGAAGTTACCTGAAGAACCCTGAAGAACTCCACAGCCATTGAAGAAAATGGAGACGAACAAATTTGGGGTTTAGGGGGAATGGGGTTTTGTGGGTAACTTCCATTGATTGAAGGGTGAAGAAGGAAGAAGAAGAAGGGTGGTTTCAGGCGGCCATTATCAGCCCTCCTCTCTCCGTTTCTCTTTGTTCTTGTAGTGCAAGAACACTCGCCGCTTTGTCTCTGACCCTTTCCCTTCTCTCTCCCTCGCCAATCGCTTTCAATTTGCTGCCCATTCCATTGAACCCAAATGATAAATTTTAAAATCTTTTTCATTAAAAATAAAAAATCTTCTTGTTTTCTTAGAAATTTCCTCAAACATATGAAGAAAAAAAAGAAAACAAAAAAGTGAATTGGTGCACCAATGACACAACCCACCCATCATCACAGCTTGCATTTTGACTTTTGCTGTACAATTTGTAGGTATTAATGCCAACAAACAAATTGTTCTTGAATATTCAATCGACATCTTACATAAAACATTTTTTATAAGAATATAAAAAAAAAAATTTAAGCATAATTGTAAAACTAAAATAATGTCTACTAACAGTGGGCTTGAATTATTATAAGTTATAAAGTGTAGAAACTTCTCTTTAATAAATTCATGTTAGAGTTTATAAATCATTTATGTGAATTATAATAATTGAGTCCTAATAATTATGATGTTATTTGTAATGCATGAAAGCTTTTTCATTATTAAGGGGAAAAAATACAGAAACATTATTTAATGTGTGAGGAAGAGTTGTGTTGTTAAATATAATATGGGGAATATTAAAAATATCACCGACGTCCGACATTAATTGTAACGTGATTTGTTTTTGTTTTTTCCTTTTTAAAGGTTGTCGTTGTCGGATCGGAACGCAGGTCGGCCACCGGCGGCGGAGGCGGCGGCGCCAACCCCAAGGGATGGTCGTTGTTGGAGACCTGCCGTCTGACACACATTATCCTTTAAAACCTTCGACGTCCCTTAATATAAATCCATTACTTTCTCCCTTTTTTTTTTCCTTTAAATACTATTTTGGTGGTATTTTCATTTTTGTTAATTTAGGTCTTTTTAAAATTCTGCTTTTAAAAAAAAAATTACTAATTTTAGATTTTATTTTAAATCCTAAGTGTGAAAATATAAAAAATTCAAATAAAATAATATCTACTAGCAGTTTAAACTATTAGTATCAGAATTTAACACTGTGTCAATAAGGATACTGACCCGTAAGGGAGGTGAATTGTAAAATCTCACATTGATAAAGGGAAGCACGAAAAAGAAAGCCTAAAAAAAATAATATCTGTTATTATTAAAATTTAAAATAAAAAATTATTAGACTAAAATAGTTACTTACATCCAAATACATTATTATATATATATATATATATATATATATATAATATAATAAAATAAAGTAAAACTTTTATTTTGGAAGTACCCACAAAATAAAGCATAAATTAAGGAGACTAATATAAGATTATTATTTCAAAACTTTAGATATGTATTTAATAATAGAAAATTATAATATATATTGTATTAATACATATTTTAATATTATTATTATTATTTTAATGGAAGTTCAGTAATTTGTGTTGGCATCGAAGTAAATAAACATTGCATTTATTTTTATTTTTATTTTTATTTTTTTTGTGGTATCGATGTGCATGAGATAATATAGGATAAATAAATAAGAAAATTGGTTTATTATTTATTATTTATTTATTATTATTATTATTATTATTTTGTCGTACATGATGGTGAAAGATGTTGGTGGGTGGGAGAGAGGGAATATGGGGGCAATGACATAGGTCACAGGTCCACCCTATTTTCTAATTAATATTTTTTTAAATATCATCGATACCATTAATATCATTTTTTTAATAATTAAAATACTATTATTTTCTAATAAAAATACAATTAAACTCTATTTTCTAATTAATATTTTTTTAAATATCATCGAGACCATCAATATCAATTTTTTTAATAATTAAAATACTATTATTTTCTAATAAAAATGCCTTAAACTCTATTTTCTAATTAATGTATTTTTTATATTTTATTTATAATAGTAGTTTTGAATTTTTACTCAAAATTTATAAATAAAAATAAAAATTTGAAAATTATTTTTAAAAAGTTTAAAAAGTGGGTTTGTAGAAATAGTGAATATAAACTTATTTAATTTTATTAAAAAAATTAAACAAAAAATAAATAGTAGAAAAAGGAGGACAGTAAATGGGGTTTTAATTTTGGGTAAATTATGGAGACTGCGAATTTGTGAGAAGGTGGTTGGTTTAGGGTTCTTAGTATTAGAGGCTTTTTCGGTATAGATCGTCTTCATTAATCTTTGCATTCCTTTGTAAGGGAGAACGAACCATTCCTTATATATATAAACTATGAGTACGACAGTGAAACGTAACTAATTGAAACTGATAACATCTACTGTTAAGGATATTTAGTAATAAATTATAGTTTACCATATATATTATATTTGATATTTTATTATAAGGCAAATATTTAATATTTGCCTTATTTTATTATCATAGGTATCTTTCCATTTATTGTTATTTCCATTTATTACTATTTTCATATCCTTGTAATTTATTTGATTATAAATAAGATAACTTTCACACCATTTAAGTGTGGTGGATTAATCAAACATTTACATCTACTAGTAGGTGCGGTAGGATTAAACCGTAATATTTGAATGAATAATAATTTTTTAATTAAATTTGAGCCATTTAATCAAAAATTATTTAAATGAAAATAATATAGAAAGTAATTGTTAGAAAATTGAAAGAATTTATTAGTATCATAAATGTTTAACAATGTTTAGTGTAAAATTTAGGTGAGAAAAGAGAGCTTTTCAACCAACCTATATTTACATCAAACTAGATTTAATTAAACAAACAACCATTATAATATTACCATAAATGTCACATATTATCATAAATTATTTATAATTTTACTAAACCAAATTATTTTTTATTAATTATTACTAAAATAGTATATAAAAATTGAAAAATTGTCTTTATTTTCAAATTTTAATATAATTGTTGGCATCTGAATTCAAATAATAAAATTCCAACGAGCATGGATCGACAGTACTATTTTGCATTATTTACTTTTTAAAAATCTAAATCTACATGAACTTACTTTTACTTTTTACTCTCGACGATATGCATCAACGGTCGATGCTTTAGTTGTTCTTGTCTTATCATCCAAAACAAAAAAAAGTATTAGTTTATTTTTTGTTTTTGTGTTGAATGGAGGATGGGTAGGGCTAGGCTCCCACCACTTTAGTTTATGGCTTCCCCACCAAATCAAAGTGATGTTGGTCATCTTGAATCTCATTCCTTGTGTTGTATTTTCAGAGTTAGGTTAGGCCGATCGACGACCCCACACGCAACTAGTTTCATAAGCTCGACTTCTATTTATGGGTTTCTATTAATTTGAGAGAAAATAATTTTACACGAGTTTATGATGGTTGGGAGAGGCATTTCACCCCTAATTGAGGGGTTATCATGAGTTTATAGGTTAGGAAAACCAAACTTAAAGTTACCAGAGTTTATGTTCAAAGTGGATAATATCATATTATTGTGGAGGGACCATGATTCCTAACATGTTATTAGAGTCAAACCCTTAACTTAGTCATGCCTAAAGTGTCAAATACAACCAAAGGAGTTGAGCCTCATAGGCTATGTCTCAGAGGAGACTAGCCTCGAAGGTGTGGTCAAAAGTGAATCGAATATCGAACAAAAGATATATTGTATTCGAGAGCTTCACAAAAAGAAGTTAAGCCTCAATGAAGAGGAAGGTCGACCCAAAAGCGTATTCGGGATTCGACATGTTTTCATTTTTATTTTTATTTTTATATATAATGCTTTATTGTTGTATGTGGGGGGCAAGAACAAACTAAGGATGCCCAAATCAATCAATAGTTTCCATTAAATTAAAGTTTTTTGGTTTGAAGTGGTGGAATTTGGAATCATGGCCCCAATTATATTAATTCAGAATCCCGAACCCACTTGGATCAATGCAACAATACTCGTCTTGTCTACACATTCGTATAAAGTTTATAGATCAGAATTTCAATTACTTTTTCTTACCAATTATTCTCGATACTATATATTTTATTTTATTCGGCAACGAGATAGATCAACTGCTACTAATATTTTATAACCGTTAAAAACAATTCAAAATATAAAGTAATATGCACCTGTTATACTTTCCCTCTCATCTAAACTTTATAGTGATCTTTAAAAAAGAAATGTACGGACAAAAGATAGAGAATATCAACGAAAAATGGCAAATCATATATCTATATATGTAGACGTATATATATACTTATTTATAAAGATGCTATACGATTGAGTTGAAGATCAGGGCAAAGAGAAGGATAGTGTCGATGGGTTTTAGAGAATCATAGGTCAAATGAGTTCTTGATTCTCGTGGTGGTGGTGGTGGTAGTGTGTTTAGGGCATTTGTTGTGAGAATCGAGTTTGCAAGGGTCGGTTTCAATTAACAAGTGTACCACATCCTTCATGGTGGGTCTAAGTGCAGGATTCTTGTACGTGCACCGAATTGCAATCTTTAGAACTTGAATCATCTCATCTTTAAACGATAACGAAACTTTCTTGTCCAAAACTTCTACGGCTCCTTCCTTTGTGTCTACTTTATTCGAAACCCAATATATAATGTTCTTGTTCTCTCCGAACTCTGCTTCCACAGGCTTCTTCCCCGTTATCAGCTCCATCAACACGATTCCAAAGCTATACACGTCGCACTTCGTCGTGGCTTTCGATGAATATGCATATTCTGTTTCACATTAAAATCATTAGTTAACACACAAAAAGCTATACCATTTGAAAATTTTAAAAGTTTAGGACATACCCGGGGCGAGATAGCCGTAAGTACCGGCGATGACGGTGGTGGTCGAGTCCTTGCCTGCTCTAGCTTGCAAGACTTTAGCAATGCCAAAATCTGCAACTTTAGGCTGATAATGAACATCCAACAGAATATTAGTGGTTTTAATGTCTCTATGAATTATAGAAGGCGATAGATCATGGTGAAGGTAAGCCAAGCCCTGCGCTATGCCCAACGCAATCTGGTGCCGTGTCGGCCAGTCCAAATGAACCCAACCCTTATGCAGGGCGTCCCATAAATTGCCGTTGGGCAGGTACTCGTACACCAAAAGGCTGCAGTCCAAGCTGGAGAAATGGCAGTATAATTTCACGATGTTCTTATGCCTTATACTCCCCAATGTCTCCACTTCAGTTTTCAGCTCTTTGTCCAAGAACAGCTGCTCCTGATCCGACCGTCGGTCCTTCCCCTTTCGTCTCCACGGCCTTTTAACGGCGACGATTTCGCCGCTGCTTAGCTCAATTTTGTACACTGTACCGGCGCCGCCATGGCCGACAATGTTCTTCTCCACCATTGATTCGATTATCTCTCTTGGGTCGAAGCTGATTCGGTGGAAGCTTTTGACATCGTATGAGAAAAACGATGAAGATTGTGTTTCGTCCTGTTCCATTACTGTTTTTTCTCGGCTGAATCGTCGTCGGAGATACAGAGCAGCTCCGATGAAGATTATGAACGCTGATACTCCGATTGTCCAGATGGAATTCAGCCGTTTTTTGTTGAGATTTTGAGAACAAACTGGGAATTTTTGGTCGGATGAATCTAAATAAATCGAAACGCACAATCCTGGGTTGCCGGAAAAGCTCTCCACTAACCCATATTTGATCAAAGACAGAGGAATTGGACCGGAGAGTTGGTTGTTCGAGAAATTGATTGAGTTCGGCAACAATTCACAGAGGCTTTCCGGGATGTTACCGGACAGTCGATTGTCGGATAAATCAAGAACATTAAGAGATTTAATCTCGGAAAGCGAAGTGGGTATTGAAGAATTCAGGTGATTTCGTTGCAAAAGCAGCAAATTAAGCCTCTTGAGATTCCCAATTTCAGAAGGAATCGGACCAGACAAGAAGTTGTTGCTAAGATCAATCTTAACCAAATTGGTCGCTTTAGAGATTTCCGGCGGCAACTCGCCGGAAATCATGTTACTCTGCATGAACAATTCCGACAGATTCCTGGCTTCAGCAAAAGAATTCGGAATTTCACCGCTAAGATTATTGTTAGCGAAATCAATAATCGAAGCATGTGGAAGACCCAAAAGTCCCGCCGGCACCGGACCTTCTAGAAAATTCCAGCTGACTCGAAACCGTAAAAGTGACTGGCATTTACCATACGCCGGCGGGATTTGACCGGAAAATTTATTTTGCAACATGAGAAAATACATTAATTTACCTTCTCTACAGACATCTGTCGGTAAGGGACCGGAGAAATGATTTTCCGACAAGTCGAGAACCAACATGGGTGAAAATTGGCCCAAATTACTTGGAACTTCTCCGGTCATGTAGTTGTCGTAAAGGGATAACATAGTGAGCGTTGTTGAATTCGAAATTGAAATGGGAATCTCCCCTGTTAAGGAGTTGTTGTAAAGCTGAAGAACTTCAAGCTTAGGAAGACGACAAATCGACTCAGGAAGCTTCCCAGTCAACTTGTTGACCGACATGTCCAAGTCCACGAGCTCTGTTAAATTCCCGATCTCCTCTGGAATTTCCCCGATTAATGAATTGTAATAAAGCTCCAACTGTCTCAAATTCTTCATATTCCCGATTTCTTTCGGAATTTCTCCGGCGAGGAAGTTGCCGCTTAATTCCAAGTCAACGATCGCCGTCATATTCCCAATCGTCGCCGGAATTCGACCCCCCAACATACAAGTCGTCAACACCATCGATTTCATCTTCGTCAACTCCGACAAATCCTCCGGCAACTGCCACATATTGAAATTATTATCCTCGTTGAAATTCAGCCTCTCGAGCTTCGTTAAACTGAAGACCGACAACGGGAATTCGCCGGTGAAGTTGTTATACGACATGTCGAGAATCCTAAGGTTTCTCAACGTCGAGAAATCCGGTAAAGTCCCAGTCATAGACAGAAAACTCATATCCAATTCCTCCAAAACAGAGCAATTCGTTATCCCACGTGGAAACGTCCCTCGTAAACCACTCTGCCCAAGTCGCAACACTCTCAACTCCGGCAAATAAGTACACACATCCGCCGGAAACTTCCCGGAAACCTCCCTGCCGGAGAGATCAATCCCAACCACAAGCCCCTTTTCATTACAGGTGACGCCGGTGAAATTACATAACGAAGTCCCGCCGGAAACATCCCAATCGGACGGCGAAGAATTCCCGATCAAAAGGTCTTGCATCATAGTTAGAAACAGAGATCGATCACCTCCAATGGGTTGAGAAATGAAAGAAAGAAGAAGAAAGAAGAAGTAGAAAAGGAGGGCCATTGTTGATGTTGGCGGCGGCGGTGTGGCAGAGGAGGAGGCGGAGGAAGAGAAGTATATAATATGGGGGGATGAGTGAGTGCAGGGAGCAATAATATGAGAAGAATGAAGAGAAGGAATAATTTGAATCGCTTCAAGAATTTGTTCAATCAAAATTGATTCCATTATGTGAAGCAATTTTACGCGTTCTGTTTCATCCATCTAATGCCACTTTATTCCTTTTTAGTTTAATTTCTTCATCTCTAATTTATATTTATGTAATTTCCGATGGGTAATTTAATCTCTGAAAAAATCAAAATTCCACGTGGACAGAAGAGGGTCCCACAAAGGAAAGAGGAGAATTTAATCTCTGAAAAAATCAAAATTCCACGTGGACAGAAGAGGGTCCCACAAAGGAAAGAGGAGAATTTAATCTCTGAAAAAATCAAAATTCCACGTGGACAGAAGAGGGTCCCACAAAGGAAAGAGGAGAATTTAATCTCTGAAAAAATCAAAATTCCACGTGGACAGAAGAGGGTCCCACAAAGGAAAGAGGAGAATTTAATCTCTGAAAAAATCAAAATTCCACGTGGACAGAAGTGGGTCCCACAAAGGAAAGAGGAGAATCTGCATTGGGGAGGAGTTGATGCCCACTGCTAAAAAAGCCAATGGGGGAATCCGATTTCGTAGCTTTCTAATTCTGTTTATTTTTTTATTTATTTAATTAAATGGAATATTTATTTTTATCATCCGTGGGCCTAAGGTATTTAAAGATCGGCCCATTAATTCTAATGGGCTGACAAACTGAAAGTGGGCTCGCTCCCCATTACATTTCTTCTGAATTGGGCTGGGCCGATTTTTATATAATTATCTCGTTGTTGATATAAATAATTGAAAGTCCCACATCCAGAATAATCTTCGGATTATAATCGAGGAATAATATCTTCATTGATACGAGGTCTTTTGGGAACCCCAAAGCAAAATCGAACAATATCAATATCATTTAGATAGATCCATTAAAATTAAAATTTATAGATTATTTTTTCTTATTTAATTTAAAATTAAAAGGATTTAATCCTGAGGATTCTCTCTAGAGCCACCGACCCAACACTACCTCTGACAAGCTATACGAACATGACTTGCACGAAACTTCAAAACACGGCAAGAAGAACAATGATTTGTTACATGTCAATCCAACCATAATTTAACGGATAAATCCTACCGACTCCAAAATAATTAAAAGGTGCAGTTGGAATGATTTTGACCATCCAACCAAACCGCTATTAATTTCCTTGTCTTTTTCATAAATTCCTTCAAAAAATTTCTGTACAATATGGAAGATTTAGATTTAGATATCAATCTTGTTGATATCTTTGGCAATGAGTATCCCAAGCAGGCGACAGGGGTGGGCTTCTTCAAGCATTTGAACCACACTCCTCATGGTGGGTCTCATGGAAGGAACCCTCGCTGTGCACAATATTCCAATTCTTAATACCTTTATGGCTTCCTCTTTATATACATCGCCAATTCTTGAATCCACCAACTTTAATACACTTTCTCTGCTCTTCAAATTGTTTGATACCCACTCCACAATCTCCTTGTTCTCTCCTAACTCCGCCTCGATCGCTCTTTTCCCGCTCACTAACTCCATCAATACCACTCCGAAGCTGTACACGTCACTCTTCTCGTCCACTTTGTAACTGTATCCATACTCTGCATACAATTAGGGTTTACGTCAATTCACAATACTCCAAAATGGGTATTGAGTCAGTAATCAATTTTAAAGCTTAAGCTTGAGTTTACCTGGTGCGATGTAGCCAGGAGTGCCTGCAACGACATGGCTTGTCTCGTTGAACCCACTTGTGTTGAGGATTTTGGCAAGCCCGAAATCGGCTATTTTGGGTTTGAGAAATTCATCCAAAAGTATGTTGCTGGATTTGACATCTCTGTGAATCACTGGTTGGTCGCAACTGTGATGAAGATACTCTAATCCCTTTGCTGCTCCGACTGCGATTTCGTATCTTGTTTCCCAATCTAACTCCATTTTTGTTGACGTGTGAAGTCTATCCCATAAGCTTCCATTAGACATATATTCGTATACCAATAGGCTTGAGACATCGCTCGTAATGCTACAGTATAACTTCACTACATTCACATGACGGATCGAACTTAGAGTCTTCACCTCTGAGTCGAATTCCAACGACGTTGCTCTCTGTTTCGGTAGAATTGGAGAGGAGCTTCGGTTATTGTTGTTGTTCATTCTCTCGTATGGATCGGTGTTCCAAATGTGCTTCACGGCTAACTCTTTCCCATTTTCGATCGTCACTTTGTAAACGCTGCCGGAACCTCCTTTTCCGATTAAATTCTCGTCCTTAATGGAATCGAGTATCTCGTCCCCTGTGAACGTCATTACGTGAAATGATTTTAGGTTCCATGATTCCTTTTTAAGCGACCGATCTCGATATTTGTCGCTCTTTCTCAATTTTATGAAGCACCATAGTGTCGCACTGAGAAGAACTAATCCGACAACGATACCAATGACGAGTATTCGAACGTCCCTAGACGTGCCTGAACTCTTTGAACATCGCCGTAAAAAGCCGTCCGCCTCGCTGCACAGGCCAGGATTTCCGGTGAAGCTTTCTATGTAAGCTCCATTCGATAGTGATTGAGGAATTGGACCAGATAATTGATTGTTGGAAAGATCGAGAAGACTCAATTTCAAATGTGAAAATGTCGAAGGGATTTCACCTGATAGGTCATTATTGGAGAGATTCAAAGAGTTGAGAACCTGAAGAAAACCTAGAGACGAAGGAATTTGTCCGGAGAAGAAATTTTCCGCCAAATTAACGATACTTAGAGAATTACACAAGCCGATTGTCTCTGGAATCGAACCGGAGAATTTATTCCCCTGCAATTCGAGGATATCGAGATTCTTCAGGTCACCGATAGTCGTCGGAAGTTCATCGGAGAACTGATTATTACTCAGGTCAACAGAAGCGAGAGATTTCGCTTGTGAAATCTCCAATGGCAATTTGCCTGAGAACCGATTATTTCCGACATAAAATTTAGAGAGAGCCACCGCCTTTCCAATATCGGAAGTGATCGAACCAGTCAACTGATTTGAAGCAAGATCAATTATATTCACATTTGGCAATCCCCAAATTTCCGACGGAACAACCCCGGTGAGCAAGTTCTGACTGACTCTAAATCGGTTCAAAGTGGAGCAATTAGCGTAAGTCGCCGGAATCTCGCCGGAGAAATTGTTCTGAAGAATCAAAAGCTTCTGCATCGTCCCCTGCTTACACATATCCGGAGGAATCGATCCTGTCAATAAATTCTCCGACACATCAATGAAATCAAACGCCGCCCAAGAACCAATGGCATGCGGCAGAGGCCCCGTAAGCCTATTCCTATAAAGGGACAGATTAACCAGCGACTTAAACTCCCCAAACTCCACCGGAACATGGCCGGAAAATTGATTATCAAACATTTGCAGAGAAACCAAATTCGTCAAAAACCTCAACTCCGACAAATCCCCATGGATATAATTCAACGAAGCATCGAAATTCTTAAGGCCGGTAAGGTTTCTTAATCCCACCGGAAGTGTCCCCGTTAACTGATTATTATAGAACACCAACTGCCAGAGCTTCTGCAGGCGGCCAATTTCCGGCGGAATAGTCCCTGTTATAAAATTGTCGGAAAATTCAAAACTAAGAAGCTCCGTGAGATTACCAATAGATCTTGGAATTTCCCCTGTTAAGCTACAATTCGACAAGTACAGCAAATTAAGCCTCTTCAAATCAGTGACCTCCACCGGAAAAGTAGCGTTTTCAAAAGGGTTATCTCCGACACTCAGCTCAATCAAACCGCTCAAATTCCCGACGGATTTCCATGGAAACTTACCGGAAAACCCACTTGAATTCAAATACAGATACTCCAATTCCGGCAACGAATGTATGTCCGGGAAAGAGCCGGAGAAGCCATTGCTGCTGAGATCCAAATGCTTCAGTTTTACACAATTGTTTAAACTCTCTGTCACTTCGCCGTGCAGGGAATTGGCGCGAAGAATCAGCTTTTCCAACGCCGGCAACTGGCAAACGGAATCAAAAGCAAGAACGCCGGATAAACCCCATTTGGAGAGGTTAATTTCGTTGACGAACCCGTGTGAATTGCAGGCGATTCCGGTGAAATTGCATTTGGGGGTTTGGAGTTTCCAGTTGCGGAAGACGGCGGCGTCTGTGTTGTGGAGAGAGGAGATGAGTTTGGTTAGGATTTGACGTTCGTCGTCGGATTTGATTCCGGTGAGGAAGGAGATGAGGAGAGAGAGAAGAGAGAGGAAATGTAGAGACGACATGTTGTGAAAATGAAGACCGACCGACCGACGACCGACGGTCTTAGTAGAGCGTGTGGGAAAAGGGTATGAATATTTCTATTATTTAATTATGGGTTTAATGGTTTTTATCGAAAGAGATGAATTTGATTCGAAGAAGTGAAAGGAAAAGGAGAGGAAAACGATAAAAAAAAAAAAAAAAAAAAAAGGGTTAAATCTTTAGTTTGAACACACAGTCTCAGTAATTCTGAGGCTGGTCGTTGGTCAACGTAGCCACTGGGTCAAATTTGAGAAATGCCACGTCATCAAAATACAAGTAAAAATATTATTTTAATTAATTTGGTGTTTTTCCGGAGGTTATGTATATATTTTTTTTAACCTTTGAAATATTATTTTTACCATAACTTTTTCTTACCACTTCTTTGTTTAAAGTTACCATTTAACTTACGTTATTGTCATCAAAAATTAAAAATTTATATATAATTTATGAGAGGTGGATAAACGGTTTCTGTTATTATATTGACGATAATAATTTTTTTTAATTTTTTAATAAAAATTGAGGTGCTTAAAATTTCATAAATAATTTGTAATGATAAATATTTTTTAATAATAATAATAATAATAATAATAATAGAGAGAATTATACACCGTAATTGAAAAATGTGAAGGTGTTTATGTCTTAATTAGTTGAACACTTCAACACAATAATCAAAATTGTGAGATTTCACATCGATTGGAGGGAGAGACGAGTACCAACGAATGCTCCAAAGAGAGAGGATTGTGAGATCCTATATCGATTGAAGTGGGAAACAAAGCATTCTTCTATATAAATATGTAGAAACTTCTTTCTAATAAACGGGTGCTACAACACTGTCCAATGTTAATCGATGTGAGATCTCACAATCCACCATTGTCTGCACACTACACACCGTCCAGCGTCTAGCTCTATACCCACCACTATCAAATATTGTCATATTTGAGTTTTCATTTTCGAGCTTTCCCTAAAGGTTTAAAACGCATCCACTAAGAAGAAGTTTCCGCAAAATCGTATCTGACAGTGATTATTCGGATCAATCACAGATTCTCAGCCCCGTCGTTTGGCTTCCACTATAGTTGACCTCTCTTGTTCTCCTCCCCCTTACACAACGGGTGATGACTCATGTAAACTTCTTCCTGTAGGTCCCCGTTCAAGAAGGCATAACACCTTTCTCGGATTATAACCGATGACTTACGCCTATTTCTTAGGGCGTTTAAAGAGCGTGACTCTCTTATAATGAATGTCTCGTTCAAGTTTTTTTTTTCATATACCAATCATGTCTAGACGAAATTGTAATATAAAAATGTGAACAGCGATTAAAATAATAATAATTTATTTTACCTACAATGATAATAATAATAATGGAGTAGTCAAATGTGTAGATTAATATAATTCAAAAAATAAAATAAAAAACAATATCTTTGATTGTGCCACCATTGTGGGGTGGCTTTAATGGCATCCATTTGTAATTAAGATTGTTTTTTAATATAAAAATGATTTTAATTAATTAAGTACACCCAATATATATTAATGATATAATTTTTTAATAGAATTTAAGAATAAAATCATAGATTAAAGTAAATAAAGCGATATCTACTTTAATGGTCTGTATTTAAAAATATATATTATTCCAGTGGGTAATTAGTGACGTAAATAATAAAAAAAATTGTGTATATTAAATGAAAAATAAATTATTAATTTATGTGGCGCACCGATTTGGCAATACTGGAGTCTCTTTGAAACAAAGCACCCAGCTTTTTCTTGAAGTGGATTTTATCCCTTCACTAAAATAATTATTTAATGGGGAAATGTTCATTTTAAGGCACAATTAATCCCACAATTTTAAGCAAAATAATAATTAATAATCTAAATATATTTCAAATGAATTGTACGAAATTTAAATTATAATACTTTTTTAAAAGAAAATAATATAAGAGTTAACAATGAAATAGTTGTATTAAATTAATAATAATGTACACGTCATTTGATAATTTTGTTTGTGATATTTTATTTTTAAAATTAAATTTTCAAAAAGAAAAAAAAAAGATTTTTTAAAGAGACCCTTTGTAACAATCAATTTTCCGAATTAAATATTAAAAAAAAAAAATCTTAAATTGAATAGCGTGGGAGGAAGAGGACACGTGCTCCTTCACTATTTGTTCCCCTTCGCCCACAAATTTAATTTTTTTAGTATTTATTTTGGATTTTTATTCAAAATAATAAACTAAATATTAAGGACTTCTACAATATCTAAAAAAAAGACTTCAATAACTAATTTATTAAATATTGACTTCAAGTATGATTATATATATTTTTTTCCCAACAATCCATTTTAAAATATGAATAAATAATTAATTTTGTGTCCATTAAGCAACAATAATGCTATTATTTTACGCGATAATTTAGTTTTTTTTTTTTTAATAAGAAGATGAGATAGATGTCCCATTCCAATAATAAATTAAAAAATATATAATAATTATAAAATTTATAACGTTTGGGCTCAGGCCCATGTAGATATTAGGTGGATCGCATGAATCTCAGATTTGGGCCGACAATAGTTTTGGATCCATAGTCGGGTCCTTTAACATAATTATTTGAATTTAAAAAATATCTAATAACCTAATTTTTTAATTCGAATAAAATTTTATGTCTAATATGATTGTAAGTTTTTTAATTTTGTATTAACTAGGTTCGTGAAATTATCCTTTGATCTATTAGATACAAAATTAAAAAAATTCATAAGTATGTTTAACATGAAATTGAAAATTTAGAGACTGAACGTGTGATTGAATCTCTCAATTTTATTCGACTAATCAATTCAATACCCTGTTTTCTAATCTCGGGAGTCACTAGCCATCCTTTCCGTAGCTCATCAATTTAGTAATCTACCAACTTAATATTTATTTAAAAAAAAATCATTTTTAACATTTTTGAAAAATTAAATAGGTCGCCATTCAATGAATTGTTTTAGGGCATGTGATAGGAACTTACCAAACCATCATTCCTTTTATAAATGCTCAAGGAACATTATTTTATTTATTCTGACACGTGTCGTACGTTGATTAGTTGAGTTTAACCAAGAAAGATGCCAAATAGCTAGGTAGCTATTGGAGGTATTAAGTGTAATGGCATTTGAGATTTTAAATTATTATAAGATAATTAGTGAACTTGGGGGCTATAAAGTAATTCATCAATAGTCAATCACAATTGAATAATAATTATTAAGATTCATATGTCATAATAAGACAACCCGACAACCCGTGCAATAATCAATAGTTGATTAATTAATTAATTGATAAATTAAAAAAAAAAATTATGGAACTATTCAAAATAAAAATATATTTTTTGCTCTATTTAATTTAAAATTTAAATATATATACTTACTGAAATAGAGTTGAAATCAGGGCAGAGGTGGCCACGTGTTAATGATCCAATGGCCCACAACGCGGAGCTTTTAATGATAAAACCATCGTCTATCTGGAGCTGTACCCGCAAGGTCTGCCCGAAAAAAACTCCCGCTAGATCTTGGCGGCCTGCCCCTGCCCGTAAGTTCTTCGTCAACTTACTCGCCTCCCTAAATTTTCTACTAAAACCTAAACCCAATCTCTCTCCGACAACTGCCTTTCATTTCGGATTTCTCTTCCCATTCCACCAATTTCAATTCATTGATCTCTTTTGGCACCCAATTTCTGCTTCTGATCTTCTCCTTGTTTCTTATTAACTTTGCTCTCCCGATTCGTTTGATTGCTTCGTTGAACTGGACTTCAGAGCTCTAATTTGGAGTAAAATGTTATAGATTCATGTAGTGTTGCTGAGATTTGCTTGTTTTTTTGATCGGTTGATGGCGTCGATACGGAGGACTTCGTCTCCGGCGTATCCCGATCGGCTTTATCCGAACGGGATCCCTTCTTCGCCATCTTCGAAGCTTCTTTCTAATCCTAAATACTCGTCTCCTGTCTCGTCGTTTGCCGTTGAAGCGCGGAGATTCCTCTCTGGAGCTTTCTTTCTCAGGTATCCTCTGCGGAAAGGCAGCAATAATTGGCGAAGAGCATTATTTAGATGCCTTGTGTTTTTCTTGCTTGGCTTCTTGCTAGGTATGATGCCGTTTGGCCATGATGCCGGCGACATTCGAAGCCATGACTTCTCATTCGAGATCAAGCCGCCGCATGTGAACGCGCAGTTCGAGAAAGATAGTCGTGGTCAGGTTTGGCGAGAGGATTCAGTTGTCGATTCAGTTAATTTGTTGGTCAAGCCATCTCCGGAAGTGAATTCGACTTTCACTTCAGTACCTAAAACGCAGTTGATTGTGGTGACACCGACGTATAATCGTGCACTTCAAGCCTATTTCTTGAATAGGTTGGGTCAGGCGCTGAAGCTTGTGAATCCTCCATTGCTATGGATTGTGGTGGAGATGAATTCAGCGTCGATGGAGACTGCCGAGATATTGCGGAAAACGGGAGTTATGTATAGACATTTGGTTTGCACTAAAAACATGACTGACGTGAAGGATAGAGGTGTTCATCAAAGGAACGCAGCTTTGCAACACATTGAGCGTCATAAGCTCGACGGGATCGTTTACTTTGCCGATGACGACAATATATATTCGTTGGAGTTGTTCGATAGCCTGAGAGATATCAGGTAATTGAGACTCATTCTGATGATTTTACGGATGAGTATTTTCTTGAACATATAGATACAAAAGTAAGATATTCTTTAGTCATCATGTTAGGCTTCAAACATTCTTCTATCTATCAATTTTTATACGTTGCTTTCAAAATTGAGGACTACTTGATCCGTTCGTTTCGATCATTATTGCATTTGCTCGTAAAATTTGTATTTTTGTGCATTCTTGGTATGTATTGTGCGCTTTTGTTGTCTTGATCATTATGCCAGTTTTTTAGCTGAGAAAATAGTGCACATAATTTCGCACCTATATGATCTTATCCACCTTTGGTTGCATAGCTAATTTTTATGTATTTATGTGGATATCCCAATCATTTCTGTCTTCGTTTAAATTGACAGAAATCTTAAGCGAAAGTGACGGGGATTAATAATCTCTTTGTTGGCAGCATTTTTAAAACGGGTTTATTAGGGAGAGGTTTCCACATAGTTGTAAGAAATGTTCCATTCCCCTCTCCAACCACGCGGATCTCACAATCCACTTCTTGGGAGCCAGCGTATTCGTTGGCACACTACCCAGTGTCTGGCTCTGATACCATTTGTAACCATCCAAGTCTACCGCTAGCAAATATTGTCTGCTTTGCCCGTTACATTGTGTCTGACTCTAATACTATTTGTAACAGTCTACTGTTACAAGAAATATTTGTAACAGTCTACCGTCCAAGTCTACTGCTAGCAGATATTGTCTGCTTTGCCCGTTACATATAGTCGTTAGCCTCACCATTTTAAAGCGTGTATGTTAGAGAGAGGTTTCCACACCCTTACAAGAAATGTTTTGTTCCCATCTTCAACTGATGTGGGATCTCACAGTTTTCTTAAGGCGTTCTTGTATCAATGACGGAATTTCCGCGAGCTTGACTCGTAGTCTTTCCCAATATACTCCAACTTACTCTCATGTTGCCTTCTCCTTAGAAGTTTATATAATGACCCCTCGAAGGTTCATTAAATAGCTAGAATTTAGGAATCCTTCGTCGTGTTTTAGATTGCTTTGTGGTGTAATATGCAACTTTTCTTTCTTTTATTTGATAGTTTGAGCTAGATTTTCTTCTGAGAAACGACCTTTTATCTTAGTGGAACATATTTCTTGTTTTCTCTACATGACTGGGATTTCTGGTCCAAATTTCTAATTTATGTTTACTCTGAAGACTCCTCATCTTAGTATACTAATCTTTCAGCCGCTTTGGCACTTGGCCCGTTGCTATGCTTGCACAAAACAAAAACAAAGCGATTCTGGAAGGTCCTGTATGCAATGGAAGCCAAGTAGTTGGATGGCACACGAATGAGAAAAGTAAGAGGCTTAGAAGATTTCATGTCGATATGTCTGGATTTGCTTTCAACAGCACCATCCTGTGGGATCCAAAGAGATGGAGACGCCCTACTTCAAAGCCTATTCGACAGTTAGATACTGTGAAAGAGGGTTTTCAGGTATTATTATGTGCCCTCTCCATAGTTCCTTGTAGCTGTCATTCACATGTACGCAGTGCTATAATTATATAGCTTGCCATCATTTTCTCTTTGGCAGGAGACTACATTCATAGAGCAAGTAGTTGAAGATGAAAGTCAAATGCAAGCTGTGCCTACTGGTTGTTTAAAAGTAATGAATTGGCATCTCCATTTGGAAGTACCCAATTTTGTTTATCCCAGCGGTTGGGTGTTTCCAAAGAATCTTGATTATGTCCTCCCAATCAAGTGATTGAACATTGCCATTGCAGTTTAAAGCTTAGAATTTTAGACAGGTACCATCTTTTTAGGCTTGCAACTCTTTTTGATCTTCTTTAGATAGATGTGAATATGTTGATATATATAAAGAATTCTGAGAATGAGAAGCTTTCTACGAGATCCTACGTAGGCTGGGGATGGAGAGGAAACGAAACATTTTTTTATAAGAGTGTGAAAACCTCTCCCTAGCTCCTTAGCTCCCTAGCAAACGAGTTTTAAAAACCTTGAGGGAAAGTCCAAAGGGAAAGCTCAAAGAGGACAATATCTGCTTGCCGTAGGCCGTGCCGTTATATTTCTTTGCAATCGGGAGGCTTAGGATGCTATACTTTATCTGATACTAAATGCATATAAGCTTCGTCACCATTGGTTAATACTGATAGCAAATGAAGTTGCAATATCTCAATGACATAAGAGACCTCGCTTTCTTTGATGGCAGTTTGATCCAATTCTGAATTTTGGTGGCTTTTGATTCCCGATTGGATCATTGCTTGAACTGGCGCCGTTGGTGATGGAGAGATCCATGGTAAGCTTGGCTTTCGACACAAAGAAGTACGAGTTCTTCATTTTTCCTCGTAAGAATTTTCTTGCATATTCTTTAACAGAAATGAGTTTTCGTATAGTTGTAGATTTTTAGTGCTTAATTTAGAGAGTTTTTTTTTTCTTTCCGACTTTAGATTGTTACAGCAAAACCTTCCAAATATTGTGGGGCGGGGACTGTTGTATATGTAAACTCTGTATTTGTTGTAAAACCGATTGATGACCAAATCAATGGGGGCCTAATCAAGTAAGGCCATTTTCCTCTAAGAGTAAGACAGTTTGCAACGTTTCTATTCCCAATCACCCTCATTGTTTCAACACACCATTTCAGAAATCTTGACTATGTTATCTCCTGAATTACCCTAACAGTCTGCCCGTGTTTTCATTCTTTCCCTTCTGGACACACGCCCAACCAGTTAGTCTCCTATAAAAGGAAGCGTTTCGTCTCTCTCCGAGATAGAAAGGCCGATTTGGAATCGCTTTCTAAGTGCCACAAGTACTTTTATTAGTACTTAGAACATCAATCCAAATAAGCTCTCCAAACAAGTTACACCTCATTTGAATGTGGGAAAGATTTTGAAGCTTGCGTGAGACAGAAAGTTTTGTATGCGGTAAAGCTAGAAGAAAGACGGTTTACATATACACATACGCACATAACAGTTGTGGGAACAAGGAATCGAACTATCAATCTCAAGAAGGATAATTGAGCTTGACAATAGGAAAAGAAAAATGAGATATTATCAACCGAGGAACTATGAGAAGTTAAGGACAAGTTATATTACAATTTTAGTTCCTTTGGAAGTTCATATCTATGACTTTTCAATTATATTTACAAGTTTAATTCCTGAACTTTAAAATTTGTGTTTAATTCAAAGGAATGGGAACGGAGTAATTTATAGGTTTCTAAAACTCAATCCTGTTTATGTCAATTCAAAGGAATGTTCTAAAGCTTCTCACAAGCTTGATTAGCACATTTTCAATCGTTTCAAATCTGCAAAAGACTTGAAAAACAGCATTGAAAGAAACCATAAAATACTGAATTAAAATTACAAACAACAAGTTTGAATAGTACAAGCCACCCGGACTACTACTAGACCGGACGAATCTAACCAAAATGAAAAACATCAACATTTCTTTCGACTCTTTAATCGGATCTCTATGTACATCTACGGAGAATCAGCATTTCCCTTCCCCTTATTTTCTGGGGATGGCTGTTAGTCAGGTACAAACCCCTGTTCTTCTGAGTTATCTCTGCTCACAATCACCCGGTTCATGCACCGTGGCACAGAATCATGATCAAGGTGCGATAAGTTAGTTATAGCCGAAGCAATCAAACTGCCACGGGATGATGACGGACGATAAATCGCTTCATACTCCAAACAAGAGCTGATTAGCCAATTCCCAAGTTCAAGCTCGTTGCTTTAACACTCTGGAGTTGATATGTGAACCAATGATATTTGTCGTAACTTTACAAGATGAACAGGATGCAGATTGCTACAAACGCCTTTCGTTTTCGATACCCAGAAGTACGAGCGTCGGTCTGCCAAAATGCAAAGTGTTCCCAAATTTACTAAAACAAAACAAGATTCTCCAAATGAATGCATATCTTGGGCTATCTATTTCAGGGGTAGGGGTGATGTCTAAAGAAAGAACATTTTGAACAACCATAGTAGACATTCAAAACGCCTAGATGCTTGGTTTAAAGGGTTTCATTAGTTAAAAATGAATTGTCTGTACCACCCCAAAACTGCTGAAAGCCTTTGCAAAATTAATTAAAATGCAACAGAAGGAAAGAGTTCTGGGAGGAAGGCCAACATAGTAACAAAACTAGCAAAAAACAGGTAAAATCACGCACAAGATTAAGAATTAAGTACCTAGAGAGAGTAGATTTTGTGCTGGGCTGGCTGGCATAAGCAGCAAGAGGACCTTTAAGGTTGACATATTTGTTCAAAGCATTTTCGAGCTGTGGCGGTGGTAACTACAAAAAGGAAAACTTATTACGGTCCGTATAGAATACCGAGTATAAGAGAAAGATATCTATGTCGAACTGGTGACATCATTATACCTGCAATAGTACTCGAAACGAATGAGGTTGTGTTTCAAATGCACATTTCAAGAAACCAAACCACAATTTTGGCATCCTCCAGACCTGAATTCAAACGACAAAATAGCAGCATGGTTATTTATAATAGCAATAAGATCTAAATGAAGGACTCACAAGTTAGGCTTGGTTACATGCACGTGTTCTACCCCTTTAATAGTTTAACCAGCAAGGATAAACCCTTCTGCAGAAATAAGAACCCTATTTCAACCAGAAAGGAAACACCACATGGGTTCATACATTCATTAGCAATTAAAATCATTGAATTTATAAATGTCATAGCCCAAACCCACTACTAGTAGATTTTGTCTGCTTTGGTCCGTTATGTATCGTCGTCAGCCTCACAGTTTTAAAACGCATCTACTGGGGAGAGGTTTCTACACCCTTATAAGGAATGCTTTGTTCCTTTCTCCAACCAATGTGGGATCTCACAATCCACCCCCTTGGGGGCTAGCGTCCTCGCTGATACACCTCTTAGTGTCTGACTCTGATACCATTTGTAACAACCCAAACCCACTGCTAGTAGATATTGTCCACTTTAGCCTGTTACGTATCGCCGTCAGCCTCACAGTTTTAAAACGCGTCTACTAGGGAGAGGTTTTCACACCTTTATAAAGAATGTTTCGTTCTCCTCTCCAACCAAAGTGCGATCTCACAATAAACTAAATGATAGAGTTTAACCGAGGTAATATGTATTCCCATGGCCCAAATGTATACTAGAAATTGAAGGACAAAGTTTCAGATGGCAGAGCTTCATATACATTTTATATATTTTTCCTTCATTAGATTTGGAAAACATAAGTTGTTACCGTAGGTACCTGTCTGTTTACAAGTTTGGAAAGTATCTCCATGAAAAAATCAACCTGAAAAGAAATCACAGGTCGTACAAATGAGAGTTCATGATTTCAACTAATAATTATATTTCAAGTACAAAGCTCTGTAAGAGATATTCTGGGGACAAAGAGGAAAGGGGCAAGAAGAATAGATACAATCTTCAATAAACTGAAGCAAAATAATGTCGGGCGTCTCAAAAAACTTTACTTTGATTGTATTTCTCAGCAGGTCGAAGCAACGGAGGAGTGTCAATTTTGACAACAATCATTTGGACTCAAAATTTGAGAACCACTTTCCACCTAATTTAGTGCCACAAACCCGATACTTGGTGACTCACCCGAAACTCACTCAAGAAAGCACATCTATAATATAGCTCCATGACAAAATTTCCTAATCCCAGAAAGCACTGAAAGAGTGGATAAACTTACCAGAGTAGGAAAAGCATCAATTGCCTGAATCACAGTTCTCATGAAGAGAAGAGGGAGTGGCGTTTGTTCGACCTGAAAAAAGAAGCATTATCAAATTATCAAATTAAAGAAAATAAAAGGGATTAGTTTCCTAGACTTATAAACATACCATCTGGCTCAAGGCTTTTGCAAGAACCTGCTGAGTGAACACTGTACGTTGCTCAAAACAAGCTGAACAAGCATCCGTTATCTACAAAAACAAAAAGAACACCAGAAAATTATAGTATTTATTAATGCACCAACCATAAGGTACATGTGGAATCCAGTACAACCTATAGAGGGTTAGAAATAAGACGGTCGCATATACATTATCTAACAAATGCACATAGTTAACTATAAGATACTAGAAGAATATTAGTCCTTAGCTGAAAAGCTTGTTAAAGAGGTAGATCGTAAGATCCCACATCAGTTGGAAAGGAGAACAAAACATTGCTTATAAGGGTATGGAAACCTCTCCCTAACAAACGCATTTTAAAACTGTGAGATTGACGGTGATATGTAACAGGCCAAAACGGACAATATATGCTAGCTGTGGGCTTGGACTGTTACAAATGATATCAGATCTAAACACCAGGCGGTATGCCAGCGAGGGCGCTGGGCACCCAAGGAGGGGGTGTATTGTGAGATTCCACACCGGTTGGAGAGGGGAACGAAACACTGCTTATAAAAGTGTAGAAACCTCTCCCTAACATACGCGTTTTAGACCCAAGCGGATAATGTTTACTAACGATGAGCTTGGACTATCACATAGATTTAAATGCAACAAGTTACAGTGATTTAGAGGCGAGAGAGCTAAACTGCTAAAATGCTTAGTAGCCGCCATAAGTCTATTTGATATTGTAACACAATTTCATCCAATATCATGGTTGGTTTCCTATCCAGTTGGAGGGAAAACATGTTAAGTGAAGGGATATCCAGTTGGAGAGAGATCTCAATTCCTGGCTAATCAATTCATTGCATATCTCAATCAAACTCTACAGTACATTATTTTTTCTGTTAACTGTTGAGTATAAGATCTCCAAGAATATGGGACCTTAAAAAGTCGAACATAAACATTTGAAACTTTGAAGGATAAAACATACGTACCCGGCCTAGTTATCTGGACCAATTCTATAACGTATATTATTTGTTTTGTTATTTGAAATTTTGAAAGATAAAACATTTGAAACTCTATGATTAATGAATACATAATACCAAAAGATGGCAACCATACCTTCTTTAACGCAAGGCCATCTTTTTCAGGAATTATGTTGTGGATGGCAATTAATACTTCAACAGGCGTTAAAGCTGGACGTGTATGTGCTGAACCCTGAAAGGAATGAAAAATACCTGTTAGCAATGTTCTATTAATACAAAAGATAACAAGAATCATATTCAACTAAATATTCAATACCCCACCATGCGCCACAAATCTTATGAATATCCACAAGATTTCTCGGTTCCACTCGATTCTTATTCATGGCAACAAAGTAACAATAACATATTTTAACATTTGACGTATTTCAATACCTGTAATATGTGAGCCAACGCTCTCTGAAACTTCTCCAATGGAAGATCAACCAGCCGAGGAAAAACAGGTAAAACCTGGTACCACATAAGGAATAAGAACGAAAAATTCAACAAGGATCTAATTGGAAACTGTGCACATCTTTTTTTTCTATTTTATTATTCGAACTTTAACACTTGTGTCCAAATTGAAAGGTGGCTAATGAACTTGTATTGCTGAGATTAGAGGGCAATGATGATAATACATTACTTAAAGGTTGTTCGAGGATGGCAATTACCCCACCAAAAAAGAACAATTTGCAAGAGAACATAATTGTAACAGCTCAAGCCTACCTCTAATAGATATTGTCCTCTTTGGACTTTCCCTTTCAGGCTTCCCCTCAAGATTTTTAAAATGCGTCTGCTTGGGAGAGGTTTCCACACCCTTATAAAGCATGCTTCGTTCTCCTCCCCAACCGATGCGGGATCTCACAATCCACCTCCCTTCAGGGCCTAACGTCCTCGCTAGCACTCGTTCCTTTCTCCAGTCGATGTGGGACCCACCAATCCACCCCCTTCGGGGCCCAGCGTCCTTGCTGGCACACCGCCTCGTATCCACCCCCCTTTGGAGCTCAGTCTCCTCCCTGACACATCACCCGGTGTCTAGCTTTGGATACCATTTGTGCCTACCCAAACCCACCGCTACCAACTATTGTCCTATTTGGACTTTCTCTTTTGGGCTTCCACTCAAGGTTTTTAAAATGTGTCTGTTACGGAGAGGTTTCCACACCTTTATAAAAAATGTTTCATTCTCCTCCCCAACCAATGTGGGATCTCAGAATAATATAAAAAGCTATCATGCTAGCGACTCATCCAAATGATGTATAAAAAAACTAGATATCATGATTAAATGAATTTACAAAGTTAAGATGTATTATTAGATCAATTACACAAGTTCCCATTGTATGTCAAGCTGCATGTTAGTTTACATGATAAATGTTGGTGTCAAATCCATCCCAAAAATTGTGCTGAATTAACCTAAAACACAACCCACAAGCTCACTCAAATGCACATTTTCATGAGCTATGTCAATAGGTTAACCAATTGACTACACATTCTACATATCTAGAAATAAGTTATGCTTAATGGCCAACCACTATAAACGAGACCAATGAGACGCTCGAACATCACTATTCAGACATTTTTCTTTAAAATAAAGAAAAACATAAAATACAAAGCGGAGAGTGAGACCTCATTTTTGGAAAGCGAGGGCAACATTGGAATAAGAATAGTCACGTCCTGGAGCAAAGAAAGGGAATCCGTATCAGAAAATAAAATTTACATGCGGTAGAATAGCAAAATAAATATTTTTCTAACCTTCAGTTTAGTTTCATATAAATGTTTAATGGTTGCGATCAGATCGGAAGAAGGCGTTGTCTCTTGAGTTAGTACCTGTAGAACCTGGCCAGTGAACGAACTATTAACTGGCAATCTATCGAAAAGCAAACTGTTCAAGGTCCAATCACTTATCGCGCCACACAAAGACATACCATTGCTAAAAGATGTTCACTTCCTGGGGGTGGATCTGATATTATTCTGAGCAATTCAGCATTAGATGAGCCTAGGGCCGTAATAAGATTAGGGATATGTTCATGAACGGCCTGCTTCAAAGAATAACAGGATACAGACATAATTCAGTACCAGTTCTTGTAACAGTTTAATTTTGATGCAAAAACTATTTTATTCATGGTTTTTTTAATGGGATAACTTCCAAAAACAAAAAAATAAAAGGATAAGACTGCACAAAAGTGGCATACAACAGACATTAAGAATTAACACTTGAGAGTAGTTACTTTGAAGTAAAAGCCCATAAAGAGGTATTAAAAAGTGTCAAATATCTCCTGTAAAGGAATCTCTTGCTCATCAAGGATTCTTCAATTTCTCTCCAACCAATATTCAACATAATAGCTAAACCAAACGACAAGTGAAGGACTTTCGCCATGATAGCAAGCAGAAGTCCATTCCCAACAGCGCCAAGATAAGAATGAAGATCATGTAAAAGGAGTAACAAGGATGTCGAATCTTCTGTTTCTATCAGTCAATGCTTTTCTACGCCTATCTACTCAACTTCACAAGCACAAAACACTTAAAGCATGTTTCTTGTCCAAATTGGCTTTATATCTTGTTATTCTTGAATGCATTTTCCAGTTTTTGGGTTTTTCATCTACTGTTAAGCTTAGAAAGATGTAGCTTGCAATTTTTATATATCAATGAAAAACTTGAGTTTCTCGTCAAAAAAAGAGAAGAAGAAGAAGAGGAAAGGACCTCTTTTACGGCTTTAGGAGCCCGTCCATAAGCATCAAATACAGTTTGAAGCAGACAAGGTTTCTGCAGGAAAAGGACTATAAAGTATCAATTTCACCGGGAGAGGCAATGTCAGAATTATCAACATTAAAACTAACATGGAAGATTAGGAACCTTAACGCATAGGGCAAAAAGAAGAGAAATATGTCTTTCAGCTTCTGAAAGTGACAAGGTTGAACTGGCATGAACTGTAGGTTGTGAACTCCTGGTCGAATTGTCTTCTGAGGTTCCAGGATCTGAAACTTGAGAACCACAAATGGATGTTTCCTGACTCTCACCCTACAAACAATTTTGGCCATGGTAAAGGATAACATCAATAAATTAATACGTACAATCGAACAGTACAAATCTAACAGACCTCTCCTCCAATGCTTTGCTCAATCGATCCACATGGTAAAGGCTTTACATCTGTCTGGTCTACGCCATCTACTGCAGACAGGAACATGTTTGCTGCATGTTGCTCAATCCTATCTGAAATGTAACTTAACCGGTAGAGTTTGTTCGCCACCTAATGAACCACGAAGACAACAGACTCATGAAACATCAGTAGATACATCATAAATATCATCACTTATTAGAATTGGAAATCCAGCCAACAGATTAAAATGTCCATTGGCAGGAACAAGAGTTGTGTTGCCATACCAGTCTAATAGCTGTTGCTCGAACCTTAACTTCTGAATGCATAGCACACTGCCATCAAATTACAATGTGAGGAACGCAAAATGTAAGTTCAACTCATATATGATTGCAATGAACACAAGCATACACATCTACCTTGAGAAGGATTACACAAATAATGAAAACATGAAAAATGATCAAAATGCAAGAATTTTTACCTTAAGAGCAATATCTAAGCAAGCTTGCCGACTATGTGGTCGTTTCACAATCAAATTCCAAACAGTGCCAAGACCTTGCGTGACACGTTCAATATCGGGACTGTCCTTCCCCTGGTTGTCAGTAATATCACAATAGCAAAGGTTATGTAATAGTTCCAACGTAGAGTCCGGAAAAACTGGAACTTCACCAAGAAGTCTGCTAAAAGATTTGTCTGAAGCTGGAAAAGCATCTAGCAGCGATTTGGCCTACAATTAAATATTGCAATTATGTCACTAACAAATCAAATATTATGTCAAAAAATGTGAGTGAAAGGAAAGTGGCTTACCACAACTAGAAGAAACTTCTCGTACACAGCAAAAGACGAACTTTCCACTGAATCCAGAATATTGAGTGAATGCAGGTGATATAAGACATGTAAAGCAAGCTCATGCCCCTGAAAAAAACACGTTAAAGTTAAATGGAGGGCTCAAAAACAACCATGAGAACATGTGCCAATTAAATTGATTAAGAATACTAAGAATCGTGGTAGAAAAATTATAATAATCAAGAAGAATCTGATGTGACCAATATATGAACAACATGATCTTGTTGATTTCAATGAACAATCTACTATTACAATACTCAAACTGTGCACATATAAACCATCTAACCAAAAGGAAAACCCCAACAGACCACAAAACGTGATGAACAATCGTTGTGCACCCTGAAACATGATGGTAACAACCAATTAAGAAAGTCAATAAGTTGAACATTTTACACATGCATTGCATAGTGTTATCACATTATGTAACCACATGCTTTTTTTTTTTTTTTTTTTCTCAGAAGTACCACTTGAACTTTCAAAAAACAGACTACAAGGAAAAAATGAGGATTGAATGTCATTTATGCCTATCATCAAATCTACCAACAAGCTGAGATTGACTGATCAAATGAAACTTTGCCTTCAGTAACTTTCATGAAACCTCATACCATGCATAGAAACACACAGGAAATGTGATACCTTTTGCTGTTGGTAATCAGTAGCGACTTGTTTTTCCAACATTCGAACAATATCATCATCAGCATCAACCTACGATGTGAAGGAAAAGAGGATAATTTTTAATTGCACGAAATATAAAAAATACAGTAGAATGGTAGATCCAACTAAACCAGTCTGTTAGAGTACATAAGAAAGGTTCATTTATATCCAGTCTTTCCCCCATGGAATTAACAACTACGCATTTGTACAGTTACACAGACACATCGTTTGGACCAAGAAAGAAGAAAGAGAACAAAAAATCATCATGTATTAAAACAACAGTGATGCATATGACTTGGCAACACACATGTGAAGCCTTTCAGCTGATATCATTAAGAAATTCCAATCAAAGGCCAAAAAAGTACTAGAGTTCTTCAAAGTATTTCTCTAGTAATTTTTAAAAGTGCTGGATTCAATCGATATAGATTACAAAGGCAACCAAAGAACAATCCTCAAAACATAAATGAGTATATATCATATTTTCAATTCATGAAATATCCCCAAAGTTCATGTAATCTATCAACATACTATTTTCGAAGAGAAACCTGTGAATCCCTAGTTCAAAAGATAGACAATGTAAGATAAGACTCTGCAACCCTTTCCTATTACCTTTCAAACATATGGTAAAAGCCAAAGATTCAAAACAGTAACGTACTCCTTTCTGTAAATGAATGCAGAGATGCAAAGTAGAAAAGTATGTAATTGGCAGAGATGATCATTACAACATGAAGCAGATGTGACTTGTCCTTTCCAATAGGAGAAAAGTGCATAAAAATGTGGAGGCAATGTAAACCATAGGGAAGAAATACATAGAGTTAATGAAAATATACAACATTATACAGTCTATGCTCACATGTAAGACATAAATCTTCATTCATTCATTTTTCAAGTTATATTTTAATAACTCCAAAAAGTTTGTTGAAATCTAATCACCAAAGTTTATATCCACATCATTACTTTGCTCCAAGTTGATTAAGAGTCTCTTTGACAAAAATTACTATGGCCTAAAGTGATAGAGTTAGCTGACAGATGCAAAAGTTAACAATGATTAAATTACTCGATTTCATGATTGAATGCACACAAATTATAAGGTTAGACAATGTAGAAATGTGGCACAACACAAACTGATCCCTTATTCTTGCATTTTCCATTTCATGAACCTTAAAATGAAGGCTGACAGTCAAACTTAGGTATATAGATCCCTATCTCAAATTGTCAACATTTATTTCGTAAAGTGCAATCATACAGTGGCAGATATTGAAAGGAAAAACCAAAGTTGCTCGAGTATGATAAGGGTTACTTTCAGAAGTACAAAGAAGGAAGAATCAAACAAAACTTATATGAATGTGAATAAATAATAGCGTATATTACACTTTGGGCCTCTTTGGCTTCCTTGACAAAAACTTGAAGAATACATCTTCCTTAGTAGTTACTTATGTTCACACTAATAGCTAGCTGGAAAGCTGTTATTTACCTTAAGTACAACGTGGCTGAACTTCAATTCCGCCAATCTCATTGTACAGTATAATTTTGATAGTAATCAAAGTTTGTCTTGTTAAAGAGAAAAACCAAAAAAAAAAATAAATAAACAATCAGACATTGCCCCCACCTGAGCAACCATTCGAGCAATTATTGCCAAGCATTTCTGATGGCAGTCTGCCCCATTTAAATTCTTGCACGAATCAAATATCTTTTCAGCTGCCAAATTTCTTACACTTTTTTGCTGTTCTGGAGTTAAGTCAACGTATGGAGGAAGCTGAGGCAATTCCTCACAGGTATCTTCAGATGCAGCTGCATTCGTAACTGATGGAGAATACTGATCGTATTCTATAGAAGACGATGTATCATCCCTCTTTGTTGCCGAGTCATCGACCAAATTAACTGCAACTAAACCATCATCAGCTTTTCCAACAGCAGTAGACAAGGGATCCAGAGGGACATCAATCTCTAATATAGAGTCAACTTTCTCAGCTCTATCAGGAGATTTTGATTTGGGGGTTGGTTGATCTGTTCCAATCGGGAATGGAGTTTCAATGATTTTTTCTTCAACTTTTGTTTTAGATATAGAAAATACCGAAGAATTCTCGATTGTCGTAGAAACAGGAACCGAAGCAGATTTTCCCAAAGATATGGAACCATCAACATAAGATGTATTTGAAATTGCCTCTTCCACACTAGAAGCAGATGATACTCCACGGCGAGGATCAAGGCGGCGGGGATCCTGCATGAGTGAGTAAAATAAACCAATTTATTTAGAGGCAGAGTGGTAGACCTAACACAGACAGAGACATAAATTAATGCATATCCACAGCTGGCTAAATTTACCCTTCTTGGATCGCGTTTAGAGTCAACAGGGAGACTATTGACAGCAGACTCAGCATAAGTTGAACCAGCGGAGGTGGCCAAAGAAAAAGGAGCTTGTGCAGTAGAAACTGAAGTTTGCACAGAACTCAATGGAGCTGATGGTGCCAGAACTTGTACGTGACTACTTACTTGATGAGTTACAGGTAAGTCCCCATGCCTAGTGGTTGGAGGGGGGGCTTTGGGCAAGTTCTTCATGTTAGTTATGACAATATCAGACAGCAAGTCGGGATGAATATTTGAAATCAGAATTTCAAGTGATTCTGCACCTCGCTCCCCTTCAGCTAGTAAGGCACCAATCATTGCAATCATCTGCTCTGCAGGAGTCGATTCAACATCTAATGTAGGAACATCATGGGATGTCCCATTAGAGATGGCATTCGGTCGAGAACCTTCTTTTCGCACTGTGGAAATTGGGTGAAAATCTGGACCAAAGCGAATTTGCTTGGAAACCTCATGGCCATTGGGAAGTTCTTCATCGTCCAGGAGCCTAGGTCTTTTTCTCGTTAGATCCACTGATGCATTATGCTGATTTGATGATTGGTCATCCTTTTTATAAGATATATTAATGTTGAGACAGGAAAAGGGAAGCAGTAAGAGACATATATAGCAACAAAGAATAGTGATCATATCAACACTCGGCCAACAGTACCTTGCCCAGCAAAGCATCACGTGAAGCTCGATCCGCAGCTTTCACCATTTTGTCCACTTGCCTGATTACTTGATCTGCAGCATCTCCAGCATTCATAGCTCTTAAAGCCTTTAGCAATCTATCTCTTGACTGAAAACCAAGCTATCAGAGAAAAGTGAAATGGGCATCAGTCATTTTCCATGAATTTAGGTTTTTATAGCCATTCTCATTCTTAACAAAAATTATGAAATTAAAACTTCAAAAGCCCCAAAAAAAACAAGCTTCTTCACTGAGGTTTTAAATACATCCCCCCCACCCACCCACCCAAAACAGATTGATAGAAAAATAAAATTAAAAATAATAATAAAAAAAAAAATCCAACTAGGGACAGAAATAAATGGAGAAAATTAAGATGCTTCGTGGCAATTTCACTAATTATAGAGGTTCCACAATCAAAAGGAATAAAAACTTTCCTGCCTCATCAAGGCATCTCACTTGCAAACTCGAGATTTTTCACTTGCAAACTCAAGCCAAAAGCAAAGTAATTATTAAGCAAAGCCAAAAGCAATTATTGAGCAACATTCTATTCTGAAGTTCCATTGCAAAGCTAGCCAAAAGCAAAGTGCAATAGATTCTTATATAATAATGACATGGTGACTCCGTATTGCAATTCCCAGGTGCACAACAAAGTAAAAATCAACATGAAAAAAAAAAAACCTAGAGGATTATACATACTTGTGTGAACATGCACGATCGAAATGAAAATATAAACTCTCAAGTGAACTCACCTCTACAAACGCTGGATGCAGACACCTTAGGAATCCCAAAAGTGCAGATCTTATAGAATACTGGATACTGGCAGCATGACGCCCTTTTACCATCTCAAAACTTGGAACAAATTCCAACAGTGCCGATAGAATGATACCATAATGAACTGGTCTTTTCCTTGCTATAGCTGCTAAACTGTCAAGCAGAAGAGCAATTCATTTGAAAGAGGAAGACAGATTGCAAATATCAAAAGTTGCAGCAATGGAGGGAAGTTTAAGCAAACAATTCAAGAATGGAAAGAAAATACGTAACAAAGTGAATTGCAAAAATTGGAATGTAACTATAGATGACGGAAAAAATCATAAGATCAAAGACCAAGAAAGTCCACCAGTTTCCTAGCTACACAATGTTTAAACAAATTGGAACAGCAAAACCAAGTGTCACAGGCCAAGTAACATATAAATCCAAACAGATCCTTCAACAAGAGCTGCATTTCATAAATATTAACAAAAACTGTGTTTCTGAAGGATGAGAAATTCTCAATAAAAAATGAAGGGTCGAAGCAACAGTATACACATCGATTAGCACTCGGAGAAAGACAATATTTTGTATTAGTATTCGCGCATAAAAGGATATGTTAATATCATTTGATTACTAAGAGGCTGCCATATTATTTGCTCGTAAACCTTCCTTTTTGACAAACATGAATCGTTCTTCTCAGGTTTTACCTCCTGTCTGATTTAAGTTAGAAAATGATCAAGATGACCTTATGAGCAAATCCATGTCCTTATATGATTCAGAACAGACTAAGTCCTTTCTTTCACTGCTGTTCCGAATACAAATAATCTGATCCTTTCTTTCTTGTTCATGATATTCCACATATAACAATTAATTTCTTGTCAGAAGGAATAAAGCATTTCAAAGAAAAAAAACTATCATAGTTCAAGTTCTCAATTTTGCATACTTCAACATAACTCCAGATGAAATAACAACCACAGTGAAATTAAATCAACAACTCCGTCACACCTTGCTGTAGAAAACACTTCTACAACCAGATACACGGAGGACTACATTATTGCCTGTGATATGACCTATCTTCCAGAGGCAATTAAGGGGTTTTAAAAAAATTCCTCCCCACAAGATTACTAAGGTAAGGGGCAGCTTCCATAAGAACGTAATGGCCAAAAAAATGAACAGACAAGAACATCAGTCATAAACAGCACACCAGTTTTCCCCAGAAACTATTGCTACAGCTTTGGAATCCATAAAAATATAGCACCAGAACATTAATTTTAACATTATAAACTGAATTATTTAAGCCACGACAGTTGCAATTACGCCACTTGTCTACAAACTTCCATCCTAATTATCGTAACTACAGGTTAACCTTTCACCACTTGACATAATATATGGAGAGCTTCATCATTCATCAAGGATTAGAGTGATCGACAGAATTTCTTGGTTTATAGTTGGAAAAGTATAACAAGCCAATACCAGAAAACACTTCAACCATTACCAAAGCAGTACAAAATATGACATGGATTTTCCAAAATTTGGTTAAGGTCTTCTAACACCTTAAAGATCAAAAAATCAACCTTCCTACAAGCAAGCATGTTTTATTTCAATATCCAACAAGAACGAGAGAGTATTCGTTTTCATGTATGAATCTTAAGTAAAATGACAAGCAGAAATTCCAAGGAAATATTAGCTTCAAGTGCACATCCAGGAAGCCAATTTTCCTAGAATCCTCTCTTCACAACCACTTTTTATACAACTTATGTTGCATATACTTATATTATATTTTTGGAGCCTCGACTGTATTTGGTGTTTCAGGAAAAAAAAAAAAAAAAAAAAAACTATGGTCTGAAATATGCAATTTCAAGAGGAAAAAACTATTAAGAGCCTTAAGAATGATAGCAGAAAGTAACTGCTGATCAAGTAAGACGTGAAATGAAGGAAAATATCTGCAATGATGAAACTTTTCTTATAGAAATTAATGAAATTCAGCAAAAATCTTTATGATGAAAGAAAAATTTATTGAATTAATTCCCCATCACATAAAACCAAAATCTTGGATGCTTTACAGCCTGCCACTCTCAAGACTCAACTTCACACATTTAATGGATAAACAGACTATATAAGCTCACCCTCACCGTCTGCAAGATCATCAACATTCTCTAAGTGTCGATTGTAACTGCTGCCCGAAATTACTTAAAAAGCTGAACCACAAAAGTTGTAGTAATGTGATTGAATTAAAAGTCAAACCCTCAGAATCTGGATTGTTTTTATTGTAGCTTATGCAAGTTAAGTACTTGATATATTATAACGTGATAGCTAAATAGTTCAAAATGATGAGCTCTTGCATCGAACAAATTAAAAAAAACTAAGTGCAATTTTTATTCTTACAAGCGAACCACATAAGCTATGAGTAAGCAATGTACATAACAAATGCCGGTTAAAAGAAATAAGCAAAACTCCAAACCATATTGACCAAGAAAACAGGCATAATATAAAGAACAAAAGTAGAAAACAACATATTGCTAAAACGTCAGAAATTGCTGGTTAAAATGAAATATTTTATTATTTCAAGTAAAATGTGTATCAATGTCAAAATAAAAGTATACATATTCAATTAGTAGCTGTAATTCGCTGTATGCACATAGAGCGTAGGAAACTGTGATAAATGGTTTCGTTAACAGTTTACAACGTATAAACTGCACTGATTCACCTTCCATCCCATTCACACAAGTAATCATTACACCAGTTATCCATTCCTATCCCTGGCCACTGGTGCTCCAAAGTACCCAAACAATTTTGCAGTCTAACACCATCTAGCATTGCTACTCCATTTTCTGAATCATCAATGAAGTATTATCCAATGCCACTAAATCCTCTAAAGTGAGCTTGTCAGCATGCAGCACTGAACGTCACAAACAAGCAGCTGAACTTGTTCAATGACCTGATCCAGGCTTCAATTGTCCCTTCACAATTTTCAAGATAGTAATGACGAGGACAAAATAAAGGTTACTGCTATGTGCTAAAGTTTTGAGTCCTCCACCGATCTGACATAATATGTGGCATGTGGATTCAGAACATATTTATATATTTACCCCCAAACATTCAGGCAAGAAAGGAAAATAACAAACAGTACAGACAATACGAGGAAATCATTAACCCAAAATTAACGCAGAGGCCCTACACAGGTTAAATACACAAGCATGTTATTTAAATTACCATTAAGTATACAAGTTATATTGATCTAAGCAAAGTAATTCAGTGACAAACCAAAATGACATTCACAATACATCGTTAGTAGTAATGATGAAAACATTTGAATCACAATGTCGTTCCTTGTACACGTGCAGAATTTCTCTAAACCTCACAGAGATCGTATGTGCAACAATGAACAACCAAACATAAATTGAAAATAGCAAACTTCCATCAACTAATAAAATAACCAGATATGAGAAAGAGAGAGAGGGCTCACCTACTGACAATTGTTACTGTGTATGTACCAGCAACAGAACTGGTCTGCAACAAATTCAAGAGAATACCAAGCATCCTATTAGCTTCCGACGCTAGCACAACTGGATCCAATATCGGAAACCCACCAGCAAGCCATGAAATGTTAAAAACATCCCCATTTCCTGTTTGTACGCAGGATCAAGTTAAATTTCAATCAAACAATCTTCCATAAAAAGATGCAAGCATATATTTACCTTCAAGCTAAAAGACTAAAAACAATGATAAATGTTACAATGTGAAGCACAAAAAACTTAAAAGCAGGCACATGTTCGTGATGTCTAAATGCATACCTTCTGAGATAGCTTTTTGTGGATCATTTGTATCGGACGTAAAAAGTAGAACATATGTTTCCAAAAATTTCAAAGCCAGCAACCTCTTCCCAACAGAACCAGGCTACAATATGACATTTAAGCAGCTTCAAGGTCAGAACAGTTGGTAATTCTTCAAAAAGAAATACTGAAAATTAAATCAATTATGTAAAGCATTTCTTATCCCAAAAAAATGTTCAATTATGTATAACTTCCAATGAGTAAAATGAAAGGCATGGAAGTGGTCCGGAAAGATTAAACACACAACATTCACCGAAAGCTTTTTTTAATTCAGAAGTAAACCAATCAATAAATAAACAAAAGTATGACACAGGGCCCATTTGGATCGCAAATACCGTTTCATGGGTATAAATATTAAATATCCGGTATTTTAATTTTCAGGATGATAAATGTTTGTATTTTTGGATAGGCAGAAAAAATAATGTCTCGGATTTAAATGTATGTGTTTGAATGTGCAAAATAATAAAGGACTGAAATTAAATGTTTCTGTTCATTTCGCAGGATTTGTTCTTGGGATTTTAAAATATGTTTATGAACTAAATAAATTTTTAAAAAATGACTAGAAAATTTGTCTAAAGTCTAATTTGGTTAGAATATTTTTTCCTTATAAATAAATAAAGTCAAATTTATACAATTATTATATGCATTGTATACAAACAAAAGTTTCAATGATAAATTTTCTACCTAATTTTTCTTCATCTTTTATCTTTACCTTATGGCTTTTATCATTGCGCATTAAACTTAAATTAAACACAATTTAAAATCAACCTACAAATTTCACTCTCTATTTTTAAATTTAATTACAAATTAAAAATATATAAGCCATCAAATATCACATGCTCATTTTTTTACTCTCCAAATAGAATAATATACATTAAATCATTGTATATGTTTTTCTTATTAAAAAATTAATTTAGATTATTAGATTCAATTTGAAGAATATTTAAATTAATTAAAATCGTTATACTAAAATTAATTTATACTAATCAAAAAGTAATTATTGAGTAGTTTCTCTCTAGTCTCTCCTATTCATATTTGAAAGAAAAAAATCTCCTCTCCAAGAAGAACTACAAATTTCCATGGTTCATGAGATATTTTCATCGAAGGATAATACTTACCTAGGTTTTAAAAAGTAAACATCCATGAAACAAACATGGTTTTTTGAATCCTTCCCAAAACCCATCTCAAAATTCATGAAACAAACATGGCCTAAAAACATATATTAAGATTTTGTGCATACACAACACACACATACATGTACACGGAGAGGAAGAAGAGAGTGAAGAAAAAAATATAAAAAAATTAAAAGTCTAACACATACATTTAAATCCGACTATCCAAGACATTATTATAAGCCTTTTTCCCATAAAAGGTAACAACAAGAAGTTTGAAAGAAGAAAGAAGAAAGAGAGATCCACATTTTAAAATAAAAACAATAGCAGAAAGTTTCAAGGACCGGCAGTTGGGCATTTACATACCTCTATGGCAATTGCCAACACCTCATCTTTAAACTTCAATATCCTCAGCCACAGTTCTTCAAGCCATCTCTCAACTTTACCCCGCCGATGCAACTGAGGAATTTAAAAAGTTACGATCTAATTTGTGATGTTACAAATTAAGTTATACACACACACACACACATACATATATATCTTCATACTAATGACATTGATAAGAGGCAAGAATAATTATACATAAATATAACGGTTGATTGACCTTCTCAAACCATGTCAGCAGGCAATGGAAGATAAATTAAACATAATTCAGAAGAAAAACAAATCAAGCATTAAAAGTTCAGTAATCCCAATAGTTCAAAAATTTCTTCAACTTTAAGCAAAAGGAGAAACCTGCAAGGTCATCTCTCTTAAAGCACCACAAAATAATTTTTGCCCACTAGTAATTGATTGTCCTGCTACAATAGAGTCTTCATCCTTTAAAGATGCCAATAAAACTGACATTAACAGAGGAGAATGTTCCATGGCTCTCAATCCAATGTCTTCAATCACCCTGAGGATTTTGTGTAAAGTGAAAGCAGTTAAGGTATAAATAAATGGAAGAAAATATTTCCAGCAGCTAACGTGCTTGAGAATAGAAGTAGAAGAATTTAAGTTATAAAAGAAGCCCAAGTGGACAAGATATGTGGTTGCTCTGAAATGCAAACATGATTGTCCAAGTAAAATGAACTTGATTTAACCGGGTGTATTAATTGATCAAGGACTTTGTTTTTATGTATATATACAAATAAGAAACTATGTTTTCATCAAGAAAAAAGGAAAAACAAGAAAATTGGCCTTCAAAAGGACACCGTAGCAAAAGAAACCTCAAAGCTAGCTATACAAAAGGGGGGTTCCAATCCAAAATAATAAGACTTAGAAACAGAGGCATAAAGAGAGGCATTAAGTTAAAATTGACCAATCCTCATTCCAAGAACACTCCAAATCCCCAAAAGTCTTTTGTACCTCTCCAGCCAAAGAGACAAATATTGATCTCAGACAGAAGTAAGGCAATATACAGCTAACAAATTCACATATGCTAAAAGTCAACAATTTAGATGAGCTAACGTTGACTGCACATCGAGAAGAAATAAAAATGAATCCACAATAAACAAACCGACTATCCCATTAAGAATATATTGAAATTACTACATTTATCCTAACCTGTGTGTTTTTTTAATATGAAACAATTTCCCTTTCTCGAATAGGTAATTACACGAGAGGACAATAAATCTCCCAATCAACAATAACTGATGGAGACACAAAAATCCAAGTACTGCAAATAAGTTTGAGTACAAATTTTGAAATTCTTCCAGGTTCACACACATGCCCCTCCTTGAAAGGAGCTCGATAAACGAACCAGCAGAACGAGGACAAAGTCTCCTTAGAGCACAGCATTTAAATTCAAATTGTTCCGGCAACAAAATACAAAATTTCTATATTAAAATTTATTCTAACCAATCAACTTTTGTCTTTCATTATTACAATTGAACCTGTACCATAATGTGAGATACTAATTTCAAACACCTCCAATATTACCTCCTCTCCAATTTAAATTAATATCCACAGGCTGGGACCAATTCTCATAATCAAAGACATGCAAAAAAGTGGAATGCTGATAATATATTGACAACGAAAATTCATCCGTAACCTTAGGTTTGAGTTATTTGAAGTCCAGTGACCATAGCTTGATATCGTTAATCCAAATTTGATGCCGTAAATAAATACACTACCTACCAAGTAATATGGACGAGCACAATATGTAATAGACAAAATTACAGTTTAAAGTTAACTGATATTTTTGCAGATACTGCAGTATATCCAATACAAAAGTGCATTTTCCCTTGTAGTGGAAAATAGTTTTCACCAAACTTATCGTCTCGCTTCACTATTTATTAACGTTGAACTAGGACAAGGGGAAATGTTATAATAAGCATAAATAATACAAAATACATACAACAGAATGAAAATTTAGGGTTTCGAACTCACTCAATTAACAATTTACGTAGTAAGCTCTCAGGGGAAGACTGAAGCTCGACCAAGTAGGAGTAGAGCTCTGCTGCGAAAGATGACTCGATGGCTAGTATGATATCCTTCACCTGCTTCAAAGATGAAATCTTCACCGTTAAATCGCCGTGGTTGTTAGCGGCGGCGAGGAGAGACAGTGCTCTTTCTCTAAAAACTCCTGCCATAGTAGACCTAGAAGGAAAAACTAGCTATGAAACAAAAATGGTGAGAGGTTAAATGGGGAGGTGTGGAGGCTTTGAAGGAACAGGGAAAATTATTCCGGGAAAGAACAGGAAACCGACGGAGAATCAACCGGAGCGATATGGTTGTGAGAGAAATTAAGCAAGCAGATGAGACGACGGCCTGGCGCGAAGGGCAGGCATATGTATATCACGTGGCTATGGCAATGCGAAATCGAACGTAGGCCCCTTTTCACATTTTTATATCAGATTAATTTTTAATCAATTCTAGGGTTTCTTTCCTATTTTTACAAAAAAAAAAAAAAAAAAAAAAAAAAAAAAAAAAAAAAAAAAAAAAAAAAAAAAAAAAAAAA